CATGTCATCAGATGTGGTCATGAATCATGAGTCACGAGCCATGGCCATGTACAGCAGATGCATGCAATGAGCGTGTCTCGTGACGTGGGACCACAAACGGAAACACACATGAAGCATGTGAGGCTATGTGACTTCTGCAGGTTTGCCATCTTCGCCGGCAGGAGGAACAGCGCCAGGAAGAGACGAATCCGAGTCCTCATGACGGGCGAGTGAAGCACCAGGAAAAAAAAAACTGCCTGACTCTGACACGACTGCGTCGGAAACACCACATTGCTGGCCAGTCACATCGCCACTGCTTTCAGGGACCGAAAACACTTCGTAAAGGTGCGAAGCATCAGCATAGGCTTCTGCAGGCGGGTGTCCCGGACCCGGTGGGGTATGTGCAGGTGGGGATCCCGGGCCCAAGTGTGCTGCCGTGGGGGGTGTGGCGGCCGGTGTTGCCACTGGCTGTGATGGCGCTTGTTCCGTGGCTGCAGCGGCTGGCTGGAATGCCTTAGCTCTATAGCAGAAGTTTGGCCAAGCCATCATGAGATTAGCGTCTTCTGAAAATCAACAGAATTCAACCAGCAATGATATTTATGATACGCGGACTCTGATCGGGCCGGGCGTCTGCAGGGTTGCTCGGCATACGTGGAAACGGAAACGGCACAGTCACGCGTGGAGCGGTCTGCGTGGGCGGGACCGGGAACGGCACCCGTGGAACGCTGACAGTCTCCACAGATGGCCCAGATGGCCCAGATGGCGGATTGGGCGGATTGGACATGTCCTCGAGAACCAAACATTGCACATGGAAAACTGGTAAACGAGTTTGGTGTATGCACACGGAGAACGAATCTCACATCTCAATGACATTCCGAAACAAGGACCGCCATGTGCCATGTGCTGCCAAGATGCCATGTGTGGGCCCCTGTGTGGCATCGTCATTGTCGGCGGAGTCGGTGGGAGCGGGTGATGAATCTCCTTAGTGCAGTACAGACCCATACCCATGCAGTACATGTCAATGTCAATTGTTCATGGTATCAGTGTTGCAAGTCGCTTCATGACAGCACCTGACTCGACATAATGGCGTTATGATTTGAAACAGAGGCACAAACTTGGCCCCGTCCACGCCCACCAAGTGCGTGGTCAACACGGTCGTCAGGGGCGTGTGGGCCATACGCGGCAAGTTTGCCTGGAGGCACAAAACACACACACACACACACACACAGAGAGAGAGAGAGAGAGAGAGAGAGACACAGACACAGACACAGACACAGACACAGACACAGACACAGACACAGACACAACACACACGCACGCACACACACACACAGACACACACACACACACACATCCACATCCACATCCACATGCACATGCACATGCACATGCACATGCACATGCACATGCACATGCACATGCACATGCACATGCACATGCACATACACAGACAGACACACAGACAGACAGACAGACAGACAGACAGACATACAGACAGACATACAGACACACACACACACACATGGAAAGAGAGAGAGAGAGGGAGAGAGAGAGAGAGAGAGAGAGAGAGAGAGCGAAGGAGAAAGAGAGAGAGCGAGAGAGAGAGAGAGAGAGAGAGAGAGAGAGAGAGAGAGAGAGAGAGAGAGAGAGAGAGAGAGAGAGAGAGAAGGAGAGGAGGGAGGGAGGGAGAGGGAGGTCCGGGTAGGGGGAGGGGGGGGGGGGGGAGAAGACGTAATCGATAGACGAGGAGCAAAGGCAGCAGCTGCAGCCATCTCGGCGGCCTTGCCCAAACTCGCCGTCATCTCGGCAGAAATCTGGCGTGCGTGTTGCACAAATGAGAACAATTCAGGCAGCCGGCAGCCGTATGTGCGTGTGTGTGTGTGTGTGTGTGTTTTCTTTATGACAATATATGTAAACATATGTATGTGCGACGTGTACATAAGTAGTATATCTCATAAAACACGACGGGTGTCCGATCCGTGGCGTCCGCCGCCGCTGCCAGCGCCGCTCGATCGGGGTGGATCCTCTGATTCTGACAGTGTGACATGACATATGTACGACTCAGATTTACAAACACATTGCCGCACACATGACAACATCTAAAACAAGACATCTCTCATGTGACCATGGGTACATGTGAACATTGCAAATTGCACAGTGCTAAGGGTCAGTGGTCCGATCCGACGCATTGTCGTTCATCACGATACTGGGGTGGAACACGCCGTCACGCACGATGGTTTCCGAGTATGGGTTGGGTGTTCTGACCAGGGAAGAGCTGGGGACGAAATCGCCTGCGCCAGGCGAGTCCTGGTCTGTCTCGTCCTCTGTGTCATCCGCAGCTTCCTCCGGTTTTGGGACCGGTGTGGTGACGTCTGGTGACTGGGACGGGCGGGCTGCGGATCCAGCCACGTTGGCTGTCAGGCGTGTGGCAGGGCGTGGGCTTCGGCTAGGTTTTGGCGGAATCTGTGACGGCTTGGGAAAATCACTGCTGGGTCGGCTGGGATCACTTTGGCCTGGTCGGGTGGGTGGAGGGCCAGGTGGTGCCGGTGGGCCTGGCGGCGGCGGAGGGTGCATGGGCGGGAACGGTAGTCCCGGCGGTGGCCCTGGCGGAGGTGGCAGCGGTGCTGCCGCAGAGGACCACGAGCCCTGATTTCCCACTGGCGGGGACGGAGGGAATGTATTCATGGCCGCGCGCACAGCCGGAGGCGGGGGCGGAGGGAACGCATGCATGGCCATGCGTCGTGCAGGTGGTCTGACAGCCGGGGGGGGGTGCTGGAATGTGTTTCTTCCAGTCGTCGGCGGGGTCATCAGTACTTGCGCCACGCTGGCATGGAACCTTACGAGCGAACACGAACCAACAGCAGCAATTACATCCTGAAAGTGTGCAATTGGTGTGGTGTGGTTATGAAGCCAGGAATCTGTGCTCGGTCTGTCCGGAGCTGCGTCGGGAGCTGGTGGCGGTGGTGGTCGCTCCTTCGCAAAAGCGAAACATACAGCTACCGACTGAACATTGCTCAGTGAATGGTGCGTGCACCTAAACACATCTAAATACTGCAGCCAGGAATCAGCTGCCTTGGGGACCCATCCCGGAGGTGGCGTGTCAGGCTCCTCTGCACCACGTAACACGTGACACACATGTGTAACTAAACCTGCCCGTGCGTCGCGTGCGTGGTAAGGTCCCTAACCCTAACGGCTCCTTCGGGACATGAATGATGATCTTCGGGGACGCTCCAACCGCCGCAGACCCAGTCTTAGGCGGGGCAGGCCGCCTCTTCTGCGGCGGTGCCTTTTTCGCATGATGCATCGCTGTGACCCTGCCAAGCTATCGATTGTGTGGAGATGTGGTAGTAGAGTAGTAGAGAGATGCCTGGTGCCTGGTGCATGGTGCCTGATATCGGCGGGGGTGGGGTTGTGAGACATGGGCTCGGGCGGGTCTCATGCTGGTGCAATGTCATGCTGTCATGCTCTCAGGCTGTCGTGAGCCCCGTGAGATCACTGCGACAAGAGATCCAGATGGATGGATGTGTTCGCCATGCAGTGCAGGCATGCCGCTCATGCCACTCACGCTGCACAAAATAACACAAGTCGCTTGATCTCATCACAGTGACACTGACAGTCATCATGCACCCACCATGTTAAACAGTAGTCTCGTATCTCGGGTCCCGGCTTGCTTCAGTCATCACGGCTCCCGGATGCTGATGACTCCGCTTGAAACCTGGCGCACACGTGCGTGTGTGTGTGTGTGTGTGTGTGTGTGTGTGTGTGTGTGTGTGTGTGTGTGTGTGTGTGGGTGGTTGGGTGTGGTGTGCGTGTGTGCGTGTGTGCGTGTGTGCGTGTGCGCGTGTGCGCGTGTGCGTGTGCGTGTGCGTGTGCGTGTGCGTGCGTGTGCGTGTGCGTGTGCGTGTGCGTGTGCGGGTGGGCGGTGTGTGTGTGTGTGTGTGTGTGTGTGTGTGTGTGTGTGTGTGTGTGTGTGTGTTTGTGTGTGTGTGGGTGTGTGTGCGTGGGTGTGTGTGTGGGTGTGTGTGTGTGTGGGTGGGTGGGTGTGGGTGTGTGTGTGTGTGTGGGTGTGTGTGTGTGTGTGCGTGGGTGTGGGCGTGGGCGTGGGTGTGGGTGTGGGTGTGTGTGTGTGTGTGGGTGTGTGTGTGTGTCTCACTGTCAATCCCGTTGAAAACTCCGTGGGACTCCGGCCCAACCCGCTAGATCGAACACCAGAATGCTCAGAATGCCCTAAGGCCCTATAAGGCCCTAAAACCCTGAGCCACAACCCTCAACCCTGAACCCTAAACCCTGAACCCTAAACCCTAATCCATAAACCTACATCATTACATCATAAACCCCGAGCCCTGAATCCTAAGCCCTAAACCCTTATTCCCCAAACCCAGCGTGGCATGTGACTGTGTATACTTTACGCTGACTCTGTTTGTGCCACTGCTGCATGTGCACTGCATGGGACGACTGCCAACGTGCTTTGCCTGATCTCCAGCACGTGCTTGCACAAGCCGCAGAACCTGTCTTTCACGCCACCGTTCGACGGGAAACACGCAGGCCATGCCGTCATGTCATGCACTCATGACTGACTCATGACTCATGATGCATGACACATGGCGCAGACGCAGACGCAGGACTCATGAATGAGACAGGGAGTCGGTGTCAAAGTTCGCATGTCACATGCGACATGCGACATGAAGGAATTAAGGACATGTCGGACATGGTGACCAATGTATGTATCGTGGTCGAATCATGCATCACTGAATCACTGATCATGAATGTATGTCACATGAACCGCCTAATGGACCCCAATGGAATCAGCGTATGACTGACATCAACTCGTGAGCATACATGTCTGTCATGTCTGTCACATGGCTGCATGGTGGCATGAACAGTGAACAGTGAACAAGTGATCAATGATTCAATGGATCATGAATGATCATGAAGTCACGAAACATGAAACATGAACCATTGGCAACAGCACCTGCATTGATACGTGCTGTGACAGTCACTGAGTCACTGACAGTCACTGATCACAAGGTGGTACATAGTACATGATTCCATGTGGATTCGCATGGGTCCAATGTCCAAGCCCCCCGCGTACTCATGTCATGGAGGATCTGAGGGAGGTTGTCTGCAGCTTTGCACGTGCTGGGATAAGGCCAGCTAGCCAAACTGTGATCGACTCTCGATTGAAATTCGGCAAAGATCTTGTCACAGCAACGACTATGACTGCACAACATGCAGACAGGGCAAAGAGTGCACGGGTTCCGTTGCCGGTCCACATCACCACTCATGTCTTCAGTGTCACTAGGGTTGCCGCCAGGCAAGTCCAGATCAAGCCGTGCACAAACGAAACAGCTTGGAACTGAGTCACCCATCGTCATGTTGATCCCATCCATCAGCTTGCTCTGACCGGCCCGAAGCATGTCCATTAGACGAAGCAGTACAGCAGGCACCTGGTTTGGCTGGTAGTCGTGCAGCTGTGACTTCACCCTGCGTTCACGAAGCACACGTACACATGTGGCTGGAATTAAAATGGATGCACCCCTGGCAGTGAAGTCGATGGGAAGCCTCTTGGCGCCGACTGGAACTATGCATTTCACACGGTTGGTGGTCTCGTCGTAGTCCGCAATCCGCCCTTTCACCCCTGGCTCTGTCCATTGCACAAAAACAAACTGCGATGGCCCGGTCAAGACCGCACGGCTCGAACTCGAAGCAGGACAATCGTCATTGTGGGTTTCGGTTTCGGGCAGCGCCACCAATGACACACCTGAGTCCGCATTCTCTCCGGGCTGCTTGCCCTGAGACGACGTATAATAGTCCAGTGAAGCTAGTCCAGGCTGCACGCTCGACAGCCATTCACTCAAGGCCGAGGCGAGTCTGTCGGATTCGCCTTGCATGCATGGCATGTGGTATGTGGTATGTGGCATGTGGCATGTGGCATGTGGCACGCGGCATGCGGCATGTGGCATGTGGCATGTGGCATGTGGCATGTGGGATGTGGCATGTTGACATGTGGCAGCCCATAATGCTCCTACCCATCCCAGCACACATGTGGTGGCATGTGGCGCACAGTCGCACAGTAAGCGGAAAGCTCGTGAACAGAAACAAGGTCCCATGTGGCACGTGGCATGTGGAACGGGCGAGCGACGAGTGACAAACGGCAAAACACAAACATGCAGACAAATCAAATGACAACTTGACAACTTAAAAAAACAAACAAGAACTAAACAAACAAGCAGACACACGTACGTCACGTACAAGACAAGTAAAGAACGAAACTGTCGGCAACTAACCAACGGCCCGATTGATCAAACAATGAGCCGACAACAGACAACAGACAACAGACAACAAAAAAACACGGATACGATTAAAAATATAACTCAACCAGAACAAGCATCCAAAGCCGAGCCAGAGAGTGGGCAGCCACACACGCAATTTGAACAGGCCTAACACTGGGGCGAGATCGCAAAGTAACCTGAACTGATCTGACACATGCACGTGTCCATGAATCCGTGTCCATGAATCCATGAACATACACAATGCACTGACGCAGCGGCCGGCGCCCGATCGTGATCCCTTGCCAGAATCGTCGAGATCGGTTGCGTGCAAGTAGTCCTGGCTATTGCCCATGACAGTGGCCTGGTTCAGCACTGCCTCGACAGCCTGCTCACGAGCATCCACGTCCATGTCGGCAGTGGGAAAGGCTGCCGCAACGTGGGGAGCGAGCATTGGACAAACACCAGTTCGCACTGCATCAAGTGCTTTCTCTTGGTCGGCACACAGCAAATCATCTTCCAGCAACTCTTCACGATATTCGGCTCTCAACACATCCTCCTGATGCTCGATTTCGTCAGACACGAACGCTGCCCTGCATGTCTCGTCAACAGCTTTGTTGAGCGCAGCACAAGCTGCACCAATCTCTGTTGTCACATCGCCATCGTCGTCGTCGTCGGCATCCGGCAGGGCGTCCGCCGCTTCCATCAAAAGGTGCAGTCCTTCCATGATGTCAGAATCTCCACATGTGCCCGCACCTGGTTCTGGTTCATGATCGTGGGCGGCCCCATCACTATCACCGTCACTGTCACCGTCATTACCATGCTCTTGTGACTGTGACTCGTCTGGATCACGCTGGTCATTCTGTCTGTGGTCTGCATCTGCACCATGTAGATTTTGCTGCATTTTCTTGGACGGCGGCCTCAGTAAGGTCACCGGTTCCGGCATGCTCTCACCAGACGCGCCGACAAGGCTCAGGTCACAGAGGAAATCGGTAGGCCGGCGAACTTTCACGATGCAGATCTGCACCAGTCCGGCCGGAGGGCCAACCACGTTGCGCCAGTGGGATGCGATCACGTCTATGGCATTCTGAAAAAACAGAGGCCTGTGGACGCGAATCCATATGTTGTCATTGCTGCCATTGCCTGTCAACTGACACTGGACAAGCCTGTGCGACGATCTGACCTTCTCACATGTGCAGTAATATGAGAAGGTGCTCTTGGTCACACCTGGCGCCCGTTGCACAAAGCAGATGACTGGCACGTGGTGTGGCAACCATTTGCTCTCCCTTTCTGCCAGGGCACGGTTGAGCAACATGTTGTAACAAGCTGCCCAAGTTCTGTGCACTGCAGGAATTGTGCTTGGATACAGACTGCGCATAATGCTGTTGATCTGCCGCAGGTCAATATCTTTGTCGTCGGGCGGTGCCTGCCAGCGAGTGACGTCCTCCTGGATATCCAGTCGATCGTGCCAAGCCGTGAGGCAAGTCCGAAGCATGGACACGGCTGTTGGCCTGTACGTCGACCATTTGCGACGTTGTGTGCTGGAGCCTGTGTGGCCAGCCTCTCCCAGGAAGTGTTTAATACACGCCCGGCTGGACTGCAGTTCAAACGAGGCTGTGGGGCAACGCTCAGCCGTCAGCTTAAGCTGTTTGTTGATACGTTCGCTCTCCCTGGTGTCAGCCTGCCATACCCTAGCCACACCACGAATGCAAACCCGTAAAGGCCCGACGAGCAAACCCTGGCTGGCGGCAGCAAGCAGGTCTACCGGGAACAACGCCTTCACCTTGCGAGCGTTGATTTCCAGCGCCTTTGGTTCTGTGTCTAACAACTCGCGGGCAACACGTCTTCGCTCAGCACAGTCTTCGGTGTCTGGTGACTTCGCAAGCAACAGCAGTTTCTGCGGGTACATGTTCAATGGATCAATGATTCTGCGGTGGAAACATGACGCGTTGTGAAGAACCTGTGCAAATGCCAAATGGATGAGCCACACCGTGTCGTCATCGTTCTTCAGTGCCACAGCATGAAGCAGACCCTGCCACATGGGAGCTGAACCTGGGCATCATGGTCACATGATCATGAACATGGATCACATGTCATGACATGGATAATTGATGCAGTAACATGTAGCACATTGCATCATGGACACAGACAGACACATGTCCACATGCACTAATGTACAAACATGAAGCACTGGCGTGGCGGGGCGTGAAGTCTTGCGCCTACTCAGTCTATACATCGAAAGATAAAGCAAGACAAATCCGTACTTGCACGAGTCACGCGACCCCACAGCATATCTTCAAAGGCTCGGCCGATAGATGACGCCTTCCCAACGACGAGCCGGAACATTGGGGCATTGTCAGCAGGCTGCACTTTGGCTTTCAAATAGTTGCTGAGGTGGATGAAGGGTTTGCGGGACACGTTCATCACTTGTGTCACGCCATCAAACAAAGGATCTTGTAGCGTGGATATGGACGCCCTCCGCCATCGCCCCATACGGTTGCGGTACTCCTTCTTTTCTTCCACTGCCAATGTGTCCACCTCAGTCGTGTTCGGGTTGTTGTCGTCATGGACCTCTTCTGTTGTGCTTTGTCCGGTGCACTGAAACACACTCATGAGGGTGGCACGGAGCATGGGTATCCCAGCAGTGAGCAATCGTGTTTCTGTCAAGTCTATGGACCCCCACCGCTCCGCGATGCACCTTGGGAAGAGGGACCTGACGCTCTTGTTGGCAGATGCGTCCCCATGTAGTGTGCGCCAGGTCGTGTACAGGTCCTGTGACACGTCACGCAAAATGTTGGTGAGCATGGCCACACTGGAGAAATATTTCCAACGACGTCTCCCAGCAAGCAGAGAGTCTACCAGCTTCAGGCCACCTAGGACTCCCAAGTGGGCCTGATGCTCATAGCAGTCCGCAGGCAGGAAGAAGCACCAGGGAACGTCGCGGAGTTTGGCCTGAACTGCCTTCTTGGCCCATATCTCGTTGGGACCGCGATCAGTTGTGCACATGAGAAACACATACTGATTTTGGCACACACCACATAGCTCGTGTTGTTCCAAGAAGGTATCCCATGTTGGGCAGCCTAAGCTTTCCAACATCTTCTTGCACAATGCGAGCGTGGCGGGGCCGTCACCGCGGTGAACCGGGAGCACATCTGCCAATCTTCGTATGCAAGCATTGTCCTGCGGCGTCAGGAGTGGCAAGTCCTCTGTGGTGGCCATCACATATGATGCTTGCAATTCTAAGGCTGTCATCTTGGATCGATGTTTGGAGGAGTTCGTGGCGTCTTCCCGATACTGCAGCCACAGGAAGCAGTGACGGTCATTTGCGTTGTGGCAGTCGCAACGCTCGCTCATCCACTCCTTAAAAAACAAGCGTGATGACGCTATGAGAGCTGAGGCCGAACGGCACTCTGCACGTAGGACTGTCTGCTTGCTGCAGTCGTCCATGATGACAAGCCCGAAGTCTTCGGCGCTGCAGTTGCTCATGTTTCTACGAATGGCCAGCGACAGTGTGCCCTCTGGTGTAAGCCAACCAAGGTTTGCTCGTCTTGTGGCGTGGTGGCCACCATTGTCGACGCCGTCATCATCACCGATGTCTTCGCGAAGTTCACGTTTCTTTTTCGCCGCAAAGTACCCCTCAACATGATTGGCTTCCAAGCAATTGAGCTCCTTCTGCTTAGCCTTTGCTGATTTTACTCTTGTGATTCCGAAGCCATTTTGTGATTCTCTGCGCATCTCGTTTGCCGCGTCTGAACGAAACTGATCCAATTGTTTCTGGAGTCTTGTGCACTTCTGCCGGAAGAACTTCAACATCTTCGCCTGGGTCTTGATCTTTGCGTCTTTGTTCGCAAGGAGACTGCTGACCAGCTGCACAGGAAACGCTTTGCCACTGCTACGTTTGCGTGACGATGACCCCGTGCTGGACTCAGCACAACATTCACCCTGACCTTCATGTGTGTTGTCGGTGTCAACATCAACACGTTCACACCGCCTGCTTTCGGTGCCGCTACCACTGCTGTCCCGCGACCCGACACGATGCAGGATGTTCGTGAGATCACGGAGTGGTCTGGAGCCTGTCGAGGTGTGCGCAGCAAGGTCGATGCGGGCAGCATTCGTGCCGATGATTTGTTTCAGGCGCTGCCAATCATCCGGACTGAATGACAAGCCATGGATGTCCTCCAGCACACACAACAAGATGTCGAAGCTGAACAGCTCGGACTGTCCGTCACCGTCAAGTCCTTTGAGGAACAACCTTCCGGTTGTGCTCATAAAAGTGTTTAATTCGTACCCCTGCGCAGATCGCCCAGGGGTAACGCTGCCTGCATGAAATATGGCATGTATTCCGGGACTGGTCACCCATAAACGACCATCCTCAGAAGTGAGCGCATATGTATGCAGCAAATTAATCAGCACAGGTCGTGTTGCCAGAGCTGCCAGCGACATGGCTGGTGTGTGTCTGTACACTATGAAAGGACCCCGTTCGGCCGGCCGCTCGGCCCGTTAAATGTTGTACATGACACATGCACACGTGACACATGTATGTCACATGTCATTTTAGACTACAACTTGACTGCAACGCCCAACGCTAGTCGTGACCATGGTGGTTCTGTGGCGATGTTTTTTTGACATCAACTGCTACGATTGTCTCTATAATGCTCTTACGCCGTGACTGACAGTACGTCATAGGTCATAGGTCATAAACACAAAAGTTGTCCCTCGAATTCGGACCCCATTAAATCCATTAAACACACCATGAATCCTGCCAACATCGACACCAAGTCACACATGTAGTGTCACACCACCTAGAGCAAAATGCTGCACGGCCACGGCTTCACACACGAGAAACACATGGACATGTGACTTACGTCAAGTGTCAACTGCGACACACAACACATATCAATGCGACGTGTCGTGCGGTACACATACTTCCGGAGTTCACGCGCGACATCGCGACATGAAGCACGTGCGTCTAACCACATCGCGACATGAAGCACGTGCGTCTATTTGATGTCATGCAACATGAAATGGTGTTCGCGAAGTCACACATGCACATTGGCGTTGACATTAAGCACGTGTGTCGCACACGTCTCTATTGCATAGTTGCCAAGCAAAATGTGGCTGTAGGCTGTAGACCCACATGATTCATTGATCACATGATGTGCCCTGAGACTTCACGACGTGCGTGAAGATCTCCGAAATAGGCAACAGGTAACAGGAAAGGTGCGAGGCAACATTAGCACATGTTGAAACGCAGCATGAGCACATGTTGACATGCAGTGACATGCAGCATGAAGACATGTGCCGGCACTTCTTAAGGTCGTCTGAACGGAGACCAACATGAGCACATGGTGACGTGCAGCTAAAACACATGTTGAAATGCAGCGTGAACACATGCCCCTACATAAAGACAAATGTTGAAAGGCGACATGAGCACATGTTGAAATGCAGCATGAGTACATGTTGGAATGCAGCATGAACGCATGCACCGACGTGTTGAAATGCAGCATGAGTACTGAGTACGTGTTGAAATGCAGCATGAACACATGCACGGTATGCTGAAATGCAGCACGAGTACATGTTCAAATGCAGCATGAACACATGCACTGTCGCAAATGCACATGAGTACATGTTGAAATGCAGCATGAACACATGCACTGGCGTGTTGAAATGCAGCATGAGTACATCTTGATATGCAGAATGAACACATGCACTGGCGTGATGAAATGCAGCATGAGTACATGTTGATATGCATAATGAACACATGCACTGGTGCAAATGCAGCATGAGTACATGTTGACATGCAGCATGAGCACATGCACTGTCGCAAATGCACATGAGTACATGTTGAAATGCAGCATGAACACATGCACTGGCGTGTTGAAATGCAGCATGAGTACATGTTGATATGCAGAATGAACACATGCACTGGTGCAAATGCAGCATGAACACATGCACTGGCGCTTTCAAGTTTGTCTGAGCGGATGCCCCCATGCTTGCCCCTGGCCCCCACCCCCCACCCCAGGTCCCAGCCCTGCCCCCAGCCCCCCACCCCACCCCCACCCCCCACCCCATCCGGCGGGGACCCACTAAAGCTCCAGGTCCCCGGAAACCCCGGCTTCAAGCCACAGCGCGAAACGGAACCCACAAGGTGTTTAGGGTTTCGGGACACACACCCCAACTGCAGCAAGGCTCCATATGGTGTATCACTGTATCACTGTGCCACTATGCGTGTCGACCCTGGAGGAGCCAAAAGTTGTGCGGTTGAGGTGCAGCAGCAGTTCGCAGACCGCCGTGTGGCCGTTCCTGGGAAGCAAGTCATTGCAAAAGAATAGGGTTTAGGAAAAGGACGAGCGTTTAGGGTTTAGGACTTGGGGTTTAGGGTTTAGGGTTAGGGCAAAGGAATACGAGACAAAACAACCCCACAAACTCGAGCCATCGCCTCTGAACTTTTCCTATGTTATCTCCTGCGATGCCTTTCCCCAAAGCTTCCCGACGGTAGGGTTTAGGGTTTAGGTTTAGGTTTAAGGGTTAAGGGTTAAGGGTTAAGGGTCAAGGGTTAAGGGTTAAGGGTTAAGGGTTAAGGGTTAAGGGTTAAGGGTTAAGTGTTTAGGTTTTAGGGTTTAGGGTTTAGGGTTTCGGGGTGGCAAGCCCTCAAGAAACGCCCGAGTCTCCTCGCCGCCCAGTGGAGTGCCGTGCGGCCATGGTGCTTCGAGGTGCGCCCTCGGGCATCCATCCCAAGCCTTTCTTGAGGGTTTAGGGTTTAGGGTTTGGGGTTTAGGGTTTAGGGTTTGGGGTTTAGGGTTTGGGGTTTAGGGTTAGTTAGGCCTTCGGGTTTGTAGGGTTGGGTTTAGGGCAGTAAAATGTAGTTGTAGGGTTGCAGGGATCGGGGTTTGTCTGCCCAGCAGCCGCTAGGGATGCAAACGTTCGCGAGGGCCCTTGAAGTTGCAGGCCCTGTAGGGCGTGTAGGGATTGTAGGCCTTAGGGCTACATCGGCTACATCGGCTACATCGTAGGGGTCAGGGCTTAATTGTGGGGGAAGCTCCCGAACTCGCCCCCCGTAGGTGTATCTGTCAAACATCCGCAAGGAATTTATAGCCAGGGCTTATGGCTAAGAATAATGATATAATGTCAAAAACAGTTCCGGACTGGAGAGTGCACACAGGGCTCGTCCAGTTTCCCAAAGCCTCAACCCCAAACTCTGAACACGGTGGATGGCTTTGTCATCGCAGCCCGCGTTCGTCTACCTAACTCTTATGTTATCATACTGCCCGGGTTGGCCCTGTTAAAGCCTCTGAAACAAGATTCTTATGACATCTCCCAGGTGACTACCTCGCAGACCTGCTGAGAAAGAACCAAGTAGCTCTCGCAGGAGGTACTCGCACACCTGAGACAGCAGTGCAAGCACGACTTTGCGTCTTCTGCATGTGTGCGCCTCCCCGTACACTGAGTCAAAGCACACTCTTCCTCCCATCAAAGCTGTGCTAGCACAACACCAAACGTGGTAGAACAGCTTCAGTCCTGTGCCCCAACAGCAAATGTTGAGCCCAGCAGCCTCCACGTGCCCCCCTCCGGCGGCCCAATGCAAGGCTCCATTTCCCCGGTGGTCCGTAGCCTGCCAGTGGGGGGCTCAACCGTTAGAGGTCGAACTGAAGGTGCGAGCTCGATCTGCATCGCATTTTCCCCCTCACTACACTTTCGATAAGAGGGACCAATTTTTCAAGTGGCTTTATTAAAAAGGAAATATTGGTTTGGGATGGGTGAGGCCGGCCTTTAAAACCAAAAAGGCCCGGCCTTTAAGCCAAGAGGCCAAGGCATCCAAACCGATTTGACCTCTTAGGGAACCCCACTCAGGACCCATAACCGGTTAGCTCGTCCTGAATAGCTCAGCGAACTTGACTTAACAGGAAGGGGGGGGAGGGCCCACTAAAGAGGGTGCGACATTACACCCTAACCCTAAACCCTAAACCCTAAACCCTAAACCCTAAACCCTAGACCCTAAACCCTAAACCCGAACTGCACCCCAAAAGCACCCTTTGCTTCTGTGGCGCCTTGTTGGCATCCCAGCCCCTCTCGACGAGGGCTTGCAGTGCCAGCAGGTCGCCCCTGTGCCGAGGGTAGGTTTAGGGTTTAGGGTTCAGGGTTCAGGGTTTCAGGGTTTAGGGTTTAGGGTTTAGGGTTTAGTGTTCAGGCTTTAGGGTTTAGGGGTTAGGGTTTAGGGTTTCGGGTTTCGGGTGGGAGGGTTGAGGGTTTTGGGTTTTGTTTTGCCTGGTACACTTCTCGATTTGTGCGTGTCATTCTTGGGCAGGGGCCATAGGGTTCAGGGTTTAGGGTGTAGGGTTTAGGGCTGATTACTTACAGTACCGATACAGACTGAAAGTGTCTTTCGATACGTGCAATGTTGCTTCCCTCCACGAGTTCCCATCTCGCTTCCCAAAAACTCCTGCACTCCCGTGCACGCACCCTCAAAGCTCCTAAACCCTAGGCACCTTAAACCTACTTATATGGGCCTTATATTAAACCAAACTATCATAATCCCCCGCCCAAAACCCCATTATGCTATCATAACCCCCAACACCCTATCATACCATCATAAGCCCCCAAAACCCTGTCCTTACTGTTTCGGCTCCTTATGTTTCTGAAGTCGTCATGATGTGGCGACCTCTGTGCAGCATCGAGCCCCGGATCGATGGAGGAGGATTCCGGCTTCTTTGCTGCACCTCGTTCTTGCTTCTAACCAAGGAATTATAAAAAAAAAAAAAAGAGGTTAAACTCTAATGATCCGATTAAATCTCCAAGAACCTAGGAATATAAGAGGTTAAACGGGAATATTCCTTCTGAACCAGGAACCCCAAAAAGTTTAAAGTTCAACTATTGGCTAAGCAAGCGTTGTAGGCACAGGAACGGAATTCTTTGCGCATAGTTCCTGCGCGCCCCTGAACAATGAAAAAGCCATCAGCATCTTAACCCAACGAAACTTCAAAATTCGCGCAACATCCAGGCCAACTATTCCAAAGTCTGCGCTTCATTTCTTGAAAAGCTGCCTGAATTCCCCCATGAAGGGATAGCAGGCGGACACCACGAAGGGACCTGCCCTATTATCGTCCCTTAGCCCGAAACATCGCCGAAAAAACGTCCAGGAAGTCCCTCACCCCGAGAAACCCTCGACAACCCCCACGCCCTGCAGTTCTGACCTCGGGGAAGCTCCCGAGTCTGCCCTAAACCCTAAACCCTGAACCCGAAACCCTAAAAACCCCAAAACCCTAAACCCGACCTCCTGATAACCCTAAACCCTAAACCCGAAACCCTAAACCCGAAACCCTAAACCCTAAGTGGGCAAGCTGCAGGACGGAGCAGAAGGCGAGGTCTCATCTTGGCAGGGGCGGAGGTAGTACTCCGTGGCCTGCCAGATATCGGGAAACCTCTTAATAAGCGGGACCTGGAACCCTTTTTCCTACAGTTTTATGGGTTATACTTACTAATGAAGGGTAGCTACTACTGATCTGTAGCTAGATAGAGTCCCAGGGATTGATAGGGGAATTTTGACTCTTGCATACTCTTGCTGCTAAAGGCCCGGGGGCGAGCCACAACTGCAAGGCATCTTCACCCAAACCCTCCATGGCTCCCAAGCAAAACTTAGGGTTTAGGGGTTAGGGTTTCTGATTCTCCAGAAATTACCACTACTCGGAGGCCGGAGGCTCGTGAGGTACTTACAGGTAGGGTTACAAGTGCCCTAAGGGTACAACCATAGTTACCCCACTCATAACCCTGCTTGCAAGTGTCCATGAACCTCCAAGCAAGATTGGGACACCTCCACGCTGAAGCACCGCGTGTCGGTCGCATTCTGCACATGCGTGCGCATGGGATTGCCCTGATCAGGGGGGGGGGGTCTAGATCACCTGTTGTCTGCTGATGAGGTTTGGGCGTCCAACACTGAGCTGCCAACAGCCTCCTCGGGTCACATCTTACTCTTGCGCTCCTAATCGTTTTCCGAGAAGTCTCTTCCGTTCAGCCACAACCCCCAGAAGCCTGAATGTAGAATCTCAGAGTTTCCTACGGGCCTCCCCGAAGAAGAAGCCGCAGCCCTTGCAGAGAACCTTGCCCCTGGCCGCTTGCGCCAGGACGTGCTCCTTGGTGAAGAACCTTTCGACGGCGATTTCTGTATTTTAGGTCTTGGTGCTTCAGGATTTTCAGGTTCTGTGGGTGCAAAGTTAAGGGGGCCCATGGTTTTTGTTCCTTCCGCACTCTGGCTGCCTTTGTTTGTGATCCCCCAACAGAACAGAGACGAACAACTCCAGAGACATGCAAAGGCAATAAATGATTTGGAGATCCCTCCCCCTGTCAGGTCCCACACATTTGAGCTGCATTCGCGCGCTACCCTTCATAGAACTCTGAAGTCTGATATGACTTGGATATATTACTTATCGCTCGTTCCACCGTACTACATCCTGAGCCCTGTAAACCGAACAGGGCATGGGTTAGCAGTGGCAACCAGCCTCAGGCCACCACCCGGCTCCACCATGATGTGGGCCAGGGAAGTGGGCTCCACCTGCAAACTTCAGGATGCCATTGGGTCTCGGGAGGAGCATAAGCTTGATACTTCGCTTTTCACGTGCACCGTGTAAAGGTTAGGCGTGGAGCTGACGGCTGAAAGGTGGTCTAGAGGTACGTCAGTTCCAGGTCCGGAGTATTGCTGAGATGACAGGCAAAGCAGGACCTCTGTTGACCCCAAGAATCTGTTGGCGAGCTTTATCAATTGCAGAGAAGGGTATGGGGCCGCAAACGGAAGAAGCAAAAGGCGCGTGAAGGGGTTCGACTTTCACAAGGAGTGCGCGCGTGCACAGGCGTGAAGGGTTTAGGGCTTAGGTCCCTAAACCCTGAGGGATTAGGTTCAGTCGAAAGTTGTGGAGCCTTGCAGAAGGCGCCCCTCCCAGCCTCCAGACGGCGTTGCACTGCCAAAGCCAGATCGAAGGCCTCCTGCAATCCCTACACCCTAAACTTCTTAAACTCCTAAACCGGAGGGAACCCTCATCTCAACCTGGACCCCAAAACCCTAATCTCCATTCATCGCCCAGGGGGACAGGCTGCGGGAAGCGAGTCTACGGCATAGCTGGGATGAGTCATGCCGAAGATCTGCTCGCCAGATTGCCGCAAAGAACTCATGCTGAAGTCACACGTCATCAACATGTCGCAGCGTCCCCTCTCACACAAGCCTACGACAGCAACCAACAACTCTTCTAACATCCACTTGCACGAGAAGCCTCGTTTTCTGGTCAGCTCCGAATCATGCCCCATTGCGGGTAACCGTTGCAAATAACCGATCTCCAGAAGAAAGAGACGCCTCAGAAGTGGTTTCGTGGCCCTTCCCAGGCCTCATGGACCATTTCAGCACCACGCCCATGTGCCTTCCAGGCCCCATTCTGCCAGTTTCCGGCGTTCAGACTTTTGGCAAGTTTGCAGTGGGTCTGTGGTAGGGTGGAGGGGGTCAAGGTTTTCTGTTGGGAGCGCTTCGGTTCCCAACACTTTTGGGGTCAAGCTTCTGATGCTCCGTACCCTAAACCCTAAACCGTGCTCATGAACGCTGGATTCGCTCACGAGCGGTACCATGGGTGCCAGGCTATAGCTTCTGATGGGCTACGCTCAAAGCGACAGGGCCTCCTTTGTCCTTAACCATGAAACCATATATAGACCCTAAATATATGCATGTATGTGCGTATGCATACGTATGTATATATCAGGGGGGTTACGAAAACAAGGGAACCCTCAAAAAGACCCCAAATAGTATAGGCTTCCCCTAAAATTACTACGTACCTCAGGAAGGTACCCATATTTTTCGGTATCTTCCACACCCAAGGCCGTGACGACAGCTACGAGCCGCCTGCTTCCATGCAGCGACGGCGGCATTCGAGGCAAAGTCTGGGCCGTCTCCTCATCCAGTTTTTGAGGCAAGCTAGGGGGTTCGGGGTTTAGGGTTTTGGAATCTAGGGCAGTTTCGGGTTTGGGAATCTAGGAATTTCGGGTTTAGGGTTTGAATTCGTAAGGTCGCACGGTTTCAGCTTTGGGGTTTAGGGAAGTGTGGGGTTTCGGGTATTGAGGTTGAGGCCGGGGGTTGACAGTTCAACTCCTGGTCTGGGGGCTTTAAGGTTTCAGAGTTTGGGGTTTAGGGTTTAGGGTCTGTATTCTACCTCACGGGGGCTCCATTTGTAGCACTGGTTCGGAGTTTCGGAAATCTACGTGTGCCCAAACGCCCAGCGATACCGCCCTACAGTGTAGTTTCATCCCTGCTCCCCCGAATTGTTGCTTGACGACACTTTCCCGCAGGAACCGAAAGTCCTAGCAATTTTTGGGGTGGCAATGACTCTCCCACTTCAAACGTCTCAACAGCCTAAGGCAGCCCTTGATTTATAGGGTTCTAAAAGGGAGGGGGGTTCAAGGGGGTAGGCAATGCAAGGTTCTACTACTCCCCACCACTCCCTACGGCTCCTCAAAGCTTCCCATAAGGGGCCCTATAGGTAGCTACACCCCTTAAGAACCCCCCTCCCTTAAGAACCCTCGAAACATAATTCCTCCACGTTTGGACTTGATGAGTGATGGAGCCTTGAACCCTATAAACCCCACACGCTTCAGAAACCCCCAAGTCTGGAACTCCGCACACCCTACATGTTCAACCCGAAACACTATAACAAGACCTAAGTATCCCGATTCGCCTAAACCCTGTAAACCCTACAAACCCTCAACCCTAACAACTCGAACATGCACCAACAAGCCCTGAGCCCTAGAATTAGAAATCCTCAAGACACTAACAGTAAATCCCCAGAAACCATGCGTTGCTAGCGGCCTGTAAGGCGCCGCAGGGCACCCGAGCGCCCGCGCGAGGCGCGAGGGAAGCCTCTGAGGAGTCCGAAAGCGATTAGGGTTTAGGGTTTAGGGTTTAGGGTTTAGGGTTTAGGGTTTAGGGTTTAGGGTTTAGGGGAGTCTCCAAAGGGTTTGTGTAGGGTGGGTTCTAGGGGTTAGCTTTTTTGGCCACCCGCCTAGCTGAGGGTTTAGGGCTCAGGGTTTTTTGGTCGGGCAGAACCGACGTCCACATTGCAGGATTCCTCCATCAACATCATCAATACAGTTCGTCCTGACTGTACAGTACTCAGCCCGCACGTGGGGTTTACGGTTTAGGGGGCATTAGAATTTGAGTTGAGGGAGGTTTTCTTTGCCACCTACCTAGCTGACACTGACGACGCACTGCAGGCCAACACGCTTTAGGGCTGGAGGGCTTGCAAGATTAGGGTTTAGGAGTGTTGGGGTTTTGGGGGTTTTGGGGTTTGCAAGGCGTTTCGGTTGATAAATTTTAGGAGGTTTAGGGTTCTGGGGGTAGGCCAAGGCCGGTACGAATCAATTGCCTGACCCGTCGGTGTGAACAAACTTCGCCATACGTCCACTGCAAATCGCCCGGCACGGCCAACTCTAAGCCGCGATCTGCGAATCCTAAACTAGGGTTTAGGGTTTAGGGTTTAGGGTTTAGGGTTTAGGGTTTAGGGTTTAAGGAAATTTCCACCTTTCTCACCTCTTCGCTTCGCCTGTTGAGGGAGGGCTTTCTAAGGGGCCATCGCGTAGAGAGAACTGCCCATCTAAACTCTATAAACACCCTAAACACCCCAGCCCTGCAAACACGAGAAAAGACCCAAAAACCAAGAACTTGAAAAAACAGCAAAAGAACCCTAAACCCTAAACCCTAAACCCTTACCCTAAACCCTAAACCCTAAACCCTAAACCCTAAACCCTAAACCCTAAACCCTAAACCCTAAACCCTAAACCCTAAACCCTAAACCCTAAACCCTAAACCCTAAACCCTGACCAGATCCGGCCTTCAGCTTCCAGCGCAGCGGCAAGTTGGGCTTGGAGGTCGGCTTCCATGGGACCCCGCTTGGGGTTCTTAGAGCCCGGGGGCTTTGCTAAAAGTTTCTCGTGTGTATATCATTATTATTATTACTATTAGGACTAGTATTGTTATTGTGACTGTTATTATTATTATCATTATTATTTGTTGTGCTGTAAACCCTTTGAAGCTTGATTTATGAATAGCTTCCCTTTGTAAGGAAACGAGTTTAGGGACGTTAAAACCTTCTCCCAAGGCACAGCCCAGTTGTGCGGGTTCTATGCGAGGTTTTGCAGAAGGGGTTGTGCAGGCCTATACCGGACTTGAAGGGTCCAGGGCTATTGGCCTGTTCCAAAACTTAACGTTGTCGTAGTATGGGGTTTTGGGGCTGAGGGGCAGCTAGGGTTACCAGGTTTAGGGTGTATGTATGTTGTTTGTGAAAGAAAATATAAGCATGAAGCACTGCAGAGAGGTAGACCTGGTAAGAGGGCGACACCGGTTGCAGAGGTTTCGTCTTCCAACAGCCCTAAATGCAAAACCTGCCTGCGCAGTGTTTAGCTTGACTGTACTTAGTTGCCCAGTACAATAGGGAAGTAAAGCTGAACCTTCGGGAGTTTCTCGGGATTATACTACTCCCAGAAAGGTTAAAGTTACCTACGTACTCTAGTACGAAGTGTACCGCCAAGGTTGCATCGTTGCTAGAATCTGCTAGAACTTCTCTACCCAAGCTTTCTGTGAGTTTGCGAGAATTAGGGACCCCACGTAGCCCCCCAAGTACTAGAATTCCCTGGTAACAAGGACCCCAATCAGGTATAATTTCGGAAGCCCCCATATGGGGGTTTACGATATTAGGGGTACCTTATTGGGGTCCTTATTTTGAGGAGATCCTATCCTACTATTTGGGGGTCTTTATTGTGTACCCTTAGGCCCCAAACCCCTAGGCCCCAAACCCTAAACCCTAAACCCTAGACCCTGAACCCTAAACCCTAACCTGAACCCTATTGGGGGCACCGGAACCCCCAATAGAAGCTATGAATGCAAAAAACGGCTGATCACTGGTCCTGGCACTCCATGCACCTCAAACCCAACCTTAATCCTAACTTAGGGTTCTTGGTTGCCACCTGCTAGGGCTTAGGGTTTAGGGTTTAGGGTTTAGGGTTTAGGGCTACAGTGCTACAGCCAAAGCCCATCTTGCAACAGGCCTCATCGCCGGTGATTGGGTTGATAATCGTCCCGTGCTCTGCCTGGCAACAATCTCACCCTCCATCAGGGCCCCTACGACCCACAAACCCTAGGGTTTAGGGTTTAGGGTTTAGGGTTTGGGGTTTAGGGTTTAGGGTTTGGGGAGTTTAGGGTTTGGGGAGTTTAGGGTACCAGGACTCTATGTACCTACTGTTTAGTAGTACAACGACCCTGAAGTAGTAGGTATAAACCCAGAAAAACTGTAGGTAGAGAGGGTCCCAGGTACAGACCCCAAACTCAAAACCCTTTGAAATTTAATAAACTCCTGAAGCTGTAATTAATACCCCTGTGGCCCACCGATCTTAAACCCGCACACAAGTCGAAGAGTCGAACGCAGAGCCTCCGCGCGAAGTCTGTACGGCACGCGCAAAGCATCAATCCTGGACCACGCGATGGTACAGACGTCTGGAAACCCTATAAACACTATGCACCCTATATTATATAAACTCTGTAAACGCTTTCAACTTATCAACCCTACAAAGCCTGTAAACCCTAACCCTACAAAGCCCAGGGGGCACCAGCAAGAGCCAAGCGCTTTAGGGTTCAGGGTTCAGGGTTTAGGGTTTAGGGTTTAGGATTTAGGGTTTAGGGTTTAGGGTTTAGGGTTCCGAAGTACTTGCTAAGTCTGATGTACGCTTGGTGTCTGGGAGGTCTCCGCCGCCCTCTCTGCTGAGCCCTCTCTGCTGAGCCCTCTCTGCTGAGCCCTCTCTGCTGAGCCCTCTTCAAGACACTGGTGCGTTCTGGGGCGTCGGTGTGGGAAGGCGGCTGTAGCGTGCGTGTAGAATAAATGTATATATGTATTTTATATACATATATGTATATATATATATGTGTGTGTGTTTATAGTAATAACCATACTATAACAACAGTTTTAAGATAACAAAAACTTACAGGTATCGAACCGACTGTGCTCGGGTTCTCACAAGGCGGGGGGGGGGGGGGGGGGGGGGGGTGGAGCTACAAGGTAGCTGACAGTAATCAAGCACGACTTGGGCGACCAGGTACTTTGTTGGCATTACATTACCCTTTGAGAGACCTGTGCCATCCCCGGCAAAAAGAGGCCCGAAAACCTCGTCCGTGACCCAAAACCCTGCCTGGGACTCTATTTACCTACAGTTTAGTAGCAACTACCCTTAGCTTGTAGGTATAACCCCCCATAACACTGTAGGTAAAGAGGGTTTTTAGGTCCCTCTCATTAAGAGGGTATAAATATAAATATAAATTTTAATCTATATATATATATATACATTTATATATATATATATATACACATATATTACCCAACCCATAAAAGCGTAGGTAAAGAGGGTCTCAGGTGAGTGTCCTTCGGTTGAGGGCATCCTGCTCCGGCGTCTCAGTGGCGATCTTTGCCTCCATCACCTCGGGTTTAGAGTTTAGGGTTTTAGAGTTTAGGGTTTAGGGTTTAGGGTTCAGGGAGCCGTGAGTCAAGCCCAAAGGATCACTGTGCATGTTGAGGCTGAAGGGATATTGGGGGAGGTAGCTGGAAGGTCTTTGCCCTGAAGCCTAAACCCTAAACCCCAAACCCTCAGAGGTCAGCTTTACTGCTGCTCCCCCCGAGCTGTCATCAGCTACCCCTTTGCCTTCAGCCCACAGTGTGCTTACCTGAAAGGACGAAGACAGAGCAAACACACGAAACCCTACACTCGAAACCCTGAATCCCTAAACCCCTTGTAGGATCTTGGGCTTTCCTTCGCAAGCTTTTGCCTTTGGCTCGGGGAGCTTCCTGGCATCCATCTTGGGAGTGTGGGTGGGCCCGACCACACTCCAGGCAACCCTACGGACGCGGCATCCTTGTGGCGCCGCAACTTGGATGCAATCGCCCAGTGCCAGACTTTGCTAGGAGGTCGTCTCCTTCCCATTCTCCAGCCTCCGTACTTTGGAGGCCTGCACAATGGCGGCTGCCTCGGTATCTGGAAGACCGGCTGAGAAGAGGTGAACCTTGATCGCGATCTCGGGCCACTTAGTGATGAGGTCGGAGTAGGCGGGAAGCCGGAGCACCTCCGCTGTGTGCTCTGTGATGAAGGACAGGCACGCCTTCTCGAGCTGCTTGGCCTCGAAGATATGCGCCTGGCAAAGGACGCTGCACACATCCGACGCATTGAGCTGCTGGCAAAGCTGAGCCTCGCACCAGCGCTGAAGTCTTGTCACCTGGTACTTGTGACTCATGGCCCACAAGTCCTGCACGCGCGACAGCTGCCGACTCACTCCGTCCTTGGCAGGTGCGCCCGGAGGCTCAACCGCAAGCTCCTCAACGGTGGGGAGGCTGTCGGTGTAGAGGTAGCGCAGGAAGGCCTTAAAGGTGGTGACGTCGGAGTCCTCGATCGTGACCACCTTGGACATCGACTCCTGCATGCCAGAACTGAGCTGTTTCTCAAAGACTTCAGACCTGGTGCAGAGTATGGCCGAGTGGGCGTGGATCACTTCGCCCTGTACCCTGAACTCTACATCACTGCATGTGCCCTTCTCCAGTAGAGCCTGCATGTCCCGGACGATGGTGCCTTGGGGAACCTCCACGGGCTTCGCTTCCACGGCTCGAGCGAAATCTTCGCCGTCATCAGTAAGGACTTCCAGCACAAACTTCACAGTCAAAGCGTCATCCTCGACCCACTCCGACTGCAACAGCTGCTTGTGTGCCAGACCAAAGACGCCGACTTGAGCCGGCTCTAAGCCGTCCGTCAAGTGCACATCTGGGCCGTAGAATTTCTCCCCTGAAATTGTATCCAGAAGCGGATCATGGATTTCATCGCACGTCGTGCCCCACTGTACAAAGTCCCCGCCGCGCTTCTTAACGTAGATGCTGTGGCGAATCGCCACCGCGTCTTTCGCACGCACTCTTATGGCAAGGGAGCCGTTCTGCGTGGCGTTGCCAAGATCGGATCCCCAGAGATTGTACACAAAGTCAAAGATGTAGATGCCCACTTGGAAGTCATCGGAATACACCTGCGTGTGTCCGCGCTGGCGGAGAGCAGTGTGGAGCCAAGACATCTGCTGAAGCTTCCAAAGATATTCACCCTTCGCGACGGAGTGCCCAAAACACATGCATTCTTCACCGCGAGCTGAGGATACGCAGGCTTTCGCCGCCATGGAAGCCTGCGACACACTGCCTGGGAGATGGTCTCCTGCACGGTCTGCATCCACAACCCGTCGGTATTCCGCCTCGAGGTGGTTGTCTTCCCGCTGCGATGCTAGGTCTGCCCTACGCGCGCCCAGCTCTCGTCGCAGCCTCTGGCGCTCGTCGGCCTGCTTTGACTCGGCCAGGAGTTGAGTTGCTCTGTCTTTTTCGGCTTGCACTTGGATGTTGGTGGCCACGATCTCAGCACGCAGCTCTTCGGCTGTCATAGATGCCATCACAGAGCAGGAAGGCTTCTAAAGGGGGCTTCACCCACAAACAAATTTGAACCCTGTTGACTCTTGAGCCCCCTTCCCCGGCCAGCAAGGTGACTCAAGGGCTTCAATGTGGCCTGTACTCCACATACTCCTCAGACCCGGACCAAGACTCCTCGCCCTCTCTACCGGCGATATGGCGTATGGGATTTAGGGTTTAGGGCCTGATTGAACCCTAAACCCTTACAAACCCTAACCGTGAACCCTAAACCCTGAACCCTAAACCCTTAACCCGAGGATGGCAAGAATCTGAGAAGTGGACAGCCCTGCCTCCAACTGAAGGCCGAGCCAAGGGCCCCCGGACCACACCAGTGATGAACCCCTACTCTATATTTTAAACCCTAACCCTAAACCCTAAACCCTAACCCCTACACCCTACCCCTAAACCCTAAACCCTAACCCCAAACCCCTAAACCCTAAACCCCTGAACCTCTGACACCTCTCCGGCCTGCTCTAACAGCCGATGATGCAGCGCCTCTCAGCTTACTGGCCCAAAACCCAAGGAAATAAAAGTTGAAACTTTCAGAATAAACTACAGCCAGTAAGTAAATCACAACAGCTCTGTAGACACAAATTACATCCCTGGAAGTTTTGGGTCATAGTAGCCCTCAACCCTAAACCCTAAACCCTAAACCCTAAACCCTAAACCCTAAACCCCAAGCCCGCGCTGGGCCGCCGACGTGGTCCGCCCTTGTGGCCACCTCGAGAGCTGGGGCTCTGAAGGGTTTCGGGAGAATAGGGTTTAGGGTTTAGGGTTTAGGGCTACTATGGATATTCTTGCGCATGCGTGCATAGCTACCGGTGCAACAGGTATAGTTGCATCTCTATGAACACTCATGGAACATGAGAAGCTGTCAGTCTTGGCAGGGCATCCCATGCACTTTTGGCCACTTTTGGCTTCCAGCTCTGAAAGTCCGCAACCCCAAACCCCAAACCCCAAACCCCAAACCCCAAACCCCAAACCCTAAACCCTACCTGGAACGCCCTAGTTGCTGCTTTTTTGCAGCAACTATTGAAAGTGGTAGGAATTTCGCAAAAGTGGCCAGAATTCCTGTCACTGGCAAGTTAACAGTGATTGCCCATCAGAAAGTGGCGTAAAAAAGCGTAAAAGTGGCGTAAAAAAGCGTAAAGTGGCGTAAAAAAGCGTAGACAATGTATGGGTAAAACTTGCAACTTTGCAGTGGCTGGTTTTAAGCGTAAAAAGCGGCCACTTTCAATAGTTGCCACAAATTATTAGCAACTAGGCTTTCCAGGTAAACCCTAAATCCTAAACCCTAAACCCTAAACCCTAAACCCCAACCCTAGGGAAACCCCAACTCCAGCTGTGCGTCAGCAAAGCGGCCTGGTCGTTTGGGTCCCGGTGGCGAGTTTGATTGCTGAGAATGCTGCGGCATGCTGGGCGTTTAGGGTTTAGGGTTTAGGGTTCAGGGTTTAGGGTTCACTTTTGCAACCGGCTTGCTCATCTCACACCCAAAAGCGCCCAAAAGTGCCCAAATCCTAACACCTAAACCCTGACACCCTAGAACCAAGAACCCCAAAACAACCCTGAAACCCTAAAACGCCGGACCCCAAAACATGCGAAAACCCTAAAACCCTAAATCCCTTGAACCCTTAAACCCTTGAACCCTTAGACCCTTGGACCCTTAAACCTGAAACCCTTCAACCCTCTGCCGTACAGCTTCTCGAGGTACTCAAGGTGCCACCAAGAGCAACACAGAACTGCGAACATTGGCCTCTGCCTTCACTCTCTCACTACTACTAGCAATAGTTTAAGAATGAGACAAGAACACTCTGAATACGAAGAATGCAAACCGTCATAGCACCCTAAACCCTAAACCCTAAACCCTAAACCCCAAACCCTAAACACAAATCACTCGCGCTGTACATCAAGGTCACAACTCCGAAACATCCACATTGGTTGCCGAAGCTTGAGCTGCACTACAATCCTGCTTCTGCTCTCTTTGGAGGACAAAAAGTAGCGCTACTTGACGAAAATACTCGTCATTCTTAATTACAGCAATGACAACAACCATGGCGCAACAAACAGCACGACTCTCGCTGCTTCTGGGCTCAGAAATTCGAGCTACGTTTGTAGGATCGTCGAGGGTTGGAGATAGAACGCAAGACCCGAGGATGGGATGACAGCAGGAGGGTCTGTTGTGGCTACTGGTGTTCTTTATGACAGGAGCCATTGGGTGAGGGAGTTGTGCCCTCCCTCCAAACTCCCCGGCTCCACTCCAGCACATGCTTGAAGAAGTTGAAGGCGTTGCAGCAAGATACTCCAAGAAGGAAGTACAGAAAATTCTTCACCATGAGGGTAGCATTTCTCCAGTGAAGAGCTGTCAGCCCAAACCCTAAACCCCAAACCGCAAACCCTAAACCCTAAATCCTAAACCCTACTCCTGAAAACCCCTCACCCCAGGCACGCCGCTCCAACCTGCCACGTATCCGGGCGAAATAGCTCGCCCCACCTCCAAGCGGGTGCCTGCGAAGGTTTTGACACAAACTGAACGGTTAACCTGGGGGGTTTAGGGTTAGGGTTTAGGGTTTATTAGTTCTCAATTACAGTAGAGTTATATGTACCCCACAACGTTAAAGGTCACCTACTCAGCTACTCACGTTTTGAGGCTGAAGCCCAGCATGTCAAAGTGTGAATCCTGGCGGTCACATCGGTAGCCGCTGAGCGTCCGGCTGTGCAACTTCCAGGGTTTAGGGTTGAGGTGGGGTTTAGGGTTTAGGGTTTAGGGTTTAGGGTTTAGGGTTTAGGGTTTAGGGTTTAGGGTAATCACAAAACACTCTGTTAAAAGACTCCTTGGTCGGAGTCTCCCACGAACCAAGCCAACAACCGAACTTACTACCTGCAGTCAACCCTCCCCCCTAGTGTTAAATCCCTTCTCCCCCCCCGACCCCCCTTAAACCAACCCTAAACCGTTTAGGTGGTGGCGGTGGGGAAGGCAACATCGGGGAAATGAGTGCAGGCACTTGCCTACTGCAGTGGCTAATGAGGCTCCGGCACTCCGCGTCGGAGTAGAACCTTACGTAGGGGTTCGGGTCTTGTTCTTTCGGTTTAGAGTTAGAGAGTTTGGGGTTTAGGTTCGCCTTCTAACTCGGCTTAAGAATTCAGGTTTATCGCCAATAGAGCTTGCTGAGGGGGCTTTATCGAGCTTCGGGTGTGGAGCTTCAAGGGCATGTCCATGGAACAAACCGTTGTGGCACCATTAGCTATTACGCGCAATGGGCAAGATCTACTTATTCTTATTCTGACATTTATCAGCTTCTCTTTGGCAAGTTTCAGACGGCGAGCTGACTAAAGGAGGCTTACATAAGATCTCAGGCTCCCAGGGTCCTTTCGCTCACTTTTTCCGTCGGCACAATCGCACAGAGTCTGTCAGTTCTTCTCCCAATAGGCGTGGTGTTGCGATCCTGAAGCCCTAAACCCTGCAAACCCTCAAGCACTCAGCCCTAAAGCCTAACAGAAGGTGGGGAGAGTCTGGATCAAAATCACATGAGCCAGCAGGGGGGCCCGACAGGTCCAGTGCGAACAGCTATAAAACCGTAGCCTGAACATCCAGCCTCTGGACATCGGGGTTTAGGGTTTAGGGTTTAGGGATGTTCTTACATGAAACAGCACTGCCATGGTTAGAGCTGTTGTTTTTCCCTTATTGGGTTTCTTCAGAGTAGGATAGTCACATGACAAGCCCTCCCAGCGTGTCCTCTTTGGCCGCTGTTCTTGTAGTAGGGAGAGAAGCAGCGCTTGCCAGCCAAAGCCTTGCAAAGCCTGAGTGTACACATGCTGGAATGCATTCCCCAAGCGGCCATGTACCTCAGTATTTTACACTTGGGCCTCAAAGGCCCTATGCAGGAAGTACTTTAAGGCCCAAGCAATCCCTACTTAGGTACATGGACCCTTAGTGTTCTTGTCTCATTCTCAACCGTACATGCTGCGTGTTTCAGTCTCTAAGGAAGGACCCGATCAAAAACGAAACGGCCTGGCAAAATCGGGAAAGACGGGAAAGCACCCGGAAATGACAAGAAATATGAAGCTATCCTGTTGGGTCTTTGAATGGGCTAATCTAGCTCGTGGAGCATGCTTCTTGGGAGCCCAGAAACCATATTAAAAGAAGGGTACCCTGTTTGGGGGTTGGTTGGTTGCTGTAGAAGGGAACCTTGAACCAAAAAAGGAGAGGGTACAATTGGGCTCCCCAGGCTATAAGGAGGACCCAGTGCCCTGCACCCTAAAACCCTAAACCCGAAACCCTGAACCCTAAAGCCCCTAAACCTAAACCCTTTTGCAACGAGCTTGGCTACGCTCCCGCCCGGCTTGGCAAACCCTAAACCGTAAACCCTAAACCCTAAATCAACATCAGCCGGGGAGCTCTCTGTTGGAGCTCTCCAAGGATTTCCCCAGCAAACCTCTCTCGACCTGCGTGGCTTCCGGGCACAATCTGCAGAGGATTAAGGTTTAGGGGCTAGGGTTTAGAGTTTAGGTTTAGGGCAGCTAGACTAGCAGGTTGCAAAAGCAGCAGTCAATGGGTTGGCATAACCAAGGATGGGCAAGACGATCTCAGGAAGCCGATGATCGTATTGCAGATGTTGAGAGATCTCGATTTAAATAGCTGCAAGCAGCCGTGGTAAAGGGTAATCCCATACACTATAAGATACCTATAATGGGAGCATTTAGTGTTGGGGGGGTCGGGGTAATATTCGAGGATGGCCCTTGAAACCCTCTGAACAGCGTTCCTGCACATGATCCTCTTGAACCCAGGAAAAAAAGGGAAATTCAAAACCATGTCCCAAGGGCCTACCGAGCCTAAACCCTAAACCCTAAACCCTAAACCCTAAACCCTAAACCCTAAGTTGCCCACTCCCCTCCTGGATGTGCATGGTGAAGCGAGACTCCTGGGAGTGGCTGGCACGTGCCCACAGGCGTGCGCCATGAAATCTGCTTGGAAACCCTAAACCCT